CCCCCACAGCATGATGCTGCCACCACCATGCTTCACTGTTGGGACTGTATTGGACAGGTGATGAGCAGTGCCTGGTTTTCTCCACACATACCGCTTAGAATTAAGGCCAAAAAGTTCTATCTTGGTCTCATCAGACCAGAGAATCTTATTTCTCATCATCTTGGAGTCCTTCAGGTGTTTTTTAGCAAACTCCATGTGGGCTTTCATGTGTCTTGCACTGAGGAGAGGCTTCCGTCGGGCCACTCTGCCATAAAGCCCCGACTGGTGTAGTTATTAAGATTGATGTCGTTTGGAATTGGTAAAATGTGCTTGGAAAAAAAATATGATCCGAATATAATAATTATGCATGCACTGTATTTTTCCTCTTCTGCTGTCGAGGTAATGCAAGGAATGTTGTGATTGGTTGTCAAGGCAGCAAAACGAACTTTTGCTAGCTCAAAATATGATCTTTCACACGCAGAATTGTGGCAGAGATGTAATCCCATAAAAATGCACATTTTTATGACTTGTATGTTCATGTCTTCTAGTGCACCTTTGCCAGGCATGGCTTGGTTCATTAATATTAATTGCAAAGTTTAACTTTTCACCCTAAAGCGAGCCTTGTTAGGTGAGTGCCTAGCATTAGTAGAAATGCTTTGCCACCTGTATTTTTCATTCAGCCCACTGCTAAAACAAACATTTGACTTCTGCTTGATCCTAAAGTTGTTGATTTTACCCTGCTGGCTACGTTTTCTTGACTTTTGCACTGCGGTCAAGCAAAATAAATCTCTTGAAAACATTTTGTACTGGCAGAATGTAACACTAGTGTTCTGCGACTTATTCTGTGTGGTTTACTTTGCCTTCTCGCAGGCTGCAGATTGCTCAGGAGGAACACCGTTCAGTGGAGGTGGAGAAGGTAAACTTGGAGCAGAAGCTGAGGGATGAGATCAATGCTGCCAAACAAGAAGCGCAGAGACTGAAGGGGCTCCGAGAGGGAACTGAGAACGAGCTGAGCCGACAGAAATATGCAGAGGAGGAGCTGGAGCAGGTGAAATTCCCCTAAAAAATATGCAAGATGTTCAAGTGTGGTTCTGCAATACTGCCCATATCTTGATTCTAATTTGGTCAGGAAGTAGGTGGAAATGCTTGCAAGATGATCTGAAAGGTTATCAACAAAATGATTTCCTGTACTGATGAAGTTTAAGTATCTTCCCAGTTCAGTATCCAGTGTACCACCACGCTGTGGCCTACTTTACTCAGCAATTACCGCAGTGCTGTTGCATAAGGGGCAGTTTAATACTTCAGATCTGGTGAAAAATCTTTGCAGAAGCTGATCACGGAATTGTAACAAGCTCCAATGTGTCAAGGACAGCCATGGGTTCTTTCTGTGACCGTATAAGGTTTCAGTATATGTATAGTATCTATATTATTCAACCTGTATTTCAGGTTTCTATATGTATGAAATCCACAAGTGGCATCTCTGGATGTAATTGGATGAATTGTTTGTTTTCATGTTGGCCTATTAAAACCCTGGCGCTAAGTGGGTATTCTGGGTCAGAGGGTGGTACAAATCTCTGTGGGTTTGAAGCTCATTAGCGCTGTTCTATAAGAAAAGGGGTCTTTCGGCTCTCCGACCCCTCAGCCCACTCCCCTAGGCCCTTATTGGATGAGATCTGTTTATTTACTGCTATAATAGAGCCTGGAGGAGTTGATTAATTGTGTTTATCCTAGTAAGGTTAGATTGGGGTGTAAAGCTTATCTGTGTCTAATTAATTTGCATCTTGTTGTAGCAAAGTGTTTTAGGTGGTGAAATGTATGCTGTTTATTCTCATTAGCTTGCCAAATGAGTCATCCATGAGTCATGTAAATGAGCTAATTGTCCTAATCACATATGCAAATTATGGGATAAATAGAAGAAGTTAAAAGGTTAAATACTATGTTGCAATTTCAGTATCCAAGTGATGGGTTGTTATTTTGCAGCATTTACAGATCTCGTAGGGTTCTGTGTGGCAAGGTTATTGTTAACTAAACTAAAACCATAAAAAAAATGTAAAATTAAATAAAAAATAACTGAAAAAAATGTATACAACTTAAATTAACTGCCAAGACAATATTTCTCAGTATTGTTTAGTTTAACTTGAAGTACTAAAATGACTAAAACAGAAATAAAAATGACCAAAAACTATATAGACATAAAAAACCCACAGAATCCTGACAAAAAACTTTAACGAAAACAGAATTAAAATATAAATTAAAACTGTAATAGTATTTTTATTAATGAGCTGATAAGAGCGATTTCTTAATTGATTAAAAAGTACTCGCATCTGAAAGCAGCCTTGTGAGGTTTGCTTGACGATCTCCTTTGCTTTGTACTCTGATCTGATGTGTCTCTGGTGACCCCTGCAGGTGGTTATGGCCCTGAAGAAGGCAGAGAAGGAGCTGGAGTCTCGCAGTAGCTGGTCTCCTCCTAATGCCCTGCAGAAATGGCTGCAGCTCACTCATGAGGTGGAGGTGCAGTACTACAACATCAAAAAACAGAACGCAGAGAGACAGCTGCAGGTGGCCAAAGAGGGGGTGAGCAGCATTTGTCGCAGTCATTCATTTAGCTAAGATGGAACAATGGTAAACACATTTAGATTATTAATGACAGTGCGACTTTGTTGTAGTACAACCCTAGAATGTGATGATAAAAACTCTACTGTCTTTTGAAAAAATATTTTAATGTTTTTAGATGATAATAAAACACTACTAATAATGATAGTCAAATAAGTATGTATTTTAATATCAGAAAATAGATTATTTTTTTTGTAATATAAGGTTTAGGATGCTAGACTCTTATTAAAAAAATTAACAAAACTCGTATGATTTGGTGAAACAAAACCTTTAATAGATTTGTGAGATAAGTAGATGTATTTATAATACAATACATTATATAATAATAATAATTTTCTTTAAAAATAAATTTGACTTTTAATTTTTTTTTAGGCAGAAAAGATTAAGAAGAAGAGAAATACTTTATTTGGGACATTCCATGTGGCACATAGTTCCTCACTGGATGATGTGGATCACAAAATACTTTCAGCTAAGTAAGTCACATAAACATTTCTCAATATTTCTGAATGCTAATTTAAAAAATAGAAATAAAGATTATTAGAAAAAAAATTAACCCTTTAACACGTATTGCCTTTAATCTCTTTCTGTGAAGGCAAGCTCTTGGTGAGGTAACAGCAGCTCTGAGAGAGAGACTCCATCGTTGGCAGCAGATTGAGATCTTAACAGGCTTCACGCTGGTCAATAACCCAGGCCTGCCCTCTCTGGCCTCTGCCCTCAACCTGGACCCCAGCTTCATGGGCGGCCGCGGCACACCCCAGCACTTCATGTCCGATGACATGGATGACATGGACGAGGACATAGTGGCACCAGGAACACTCCAATGTAAGGACTTGCCAGACAGCGCTGGGGATAAGCCCCTGTCAGCCAAAGGCCAGCAAAGACCTCGTGGCCTTTTGACCAAATCTAAAAATCCCTAGTTTTGAGCTATTTAGATTGTCTGTGCGCAAGCTCTGTCAGAAATGGTTGTATGCACAGAGCGTGTTTGTACACTTCTTATATATGCTTTCTGCTGGAGCGTTTTCCCCCCATCTACAGATTTGTATTACACAGAGAGGAGTACTTCAAGATCTGCTCTACACATTGCTGTCATATGTTTCTGATATAGCAACTATGCACTCTTTGTACATATCTTCTTTTTTTTTCAGTTTATCATATTCAATTTGATTGAGGGTTACTGAGTAGGCCAGAAGAAACCGTTCCATATGCGAGTTAAGATTAGAGGTCCAGTACAAGTCTGAAGTCCAAATCTGAAGTTGTTGTTGTGGATTGTAATAATTGTAATGTGTGAAATAATGTTATCAAACAAGCTCTAAGAAAATAGTTGTTTTCCCAGGTACAAAACATTAAATAAAATTGGTGTTTATTGGGCAAAATGTATTAATTTTGAAATTTGTATTGCTGATCTGTCTTTCCACAATATATCTTACTTGCTGTTTTAACAAAAATTTTCATAGCTATTTTCATATTAGAACTTGTTGGCTCAAGGATTTATACAAATCCTTTAAGTGTTTAAATTAATTGAGCAAATCATTGCCAAAAAGTAGAGGTCTGTTCTTGCAGCACTGTGTCAGTAGTACAGTTATATTAACAGTTGCACCCCTACCCTTGCCCTTGCCCCCTCCAGATGCAGCGTGGCAAATGGGCCACCGAGCAAGTGATCTCTGGTCATTGAATTCGGATTGCCAGTCATTTTGGAAGTACTCTGGTGGGCTAAACTACCATGGCCTTCACCCCAACCACTCCTCTTACTTCCTCTTGTTTTCCTGAACCTCTCTCCTTTAAAGCCATATGCTGCCCATAACCCTAGCTACTGCAAAGGAAAACTGAACCGAAAGAAACACTCCGAGTCTTCACATCTCAATCTTGTTCTTGTCCACAGCTGTGAAATGGTTTACTCTGAAATGCATGACCTCTCTTAGCTTGTATTGTTTTCTAATCTGTTTATCACAGTTAAGTTCAGACTTGCAAGTCGATCCTTACATGATACTGTTTTACGTTTTGTGCAACTTAATAAGCTTGGAGTCAGTATGAAATTAAAATAGACCTTTTTTTACTTCCTTAGCACAAATTCCTGGTCTTATCATAAACAATTAGAGTTAAGTATAAAGTAGAAGTATAAAGATGTTTAGTCAAAATATAGTAATCACCTGATATGATTTTCCTTATCAACTGACATCACCAGTCCCTTTTGTTTTTCACGATCTAATCAATTCCCGATAGATAGAAACAGGAAATGTGATAAGAAGAAATGCATTAAAGGGATGGTTAGGTTCCAAACTGCTCCACAACTTAGTTATTGTGTCTATTTCTGAGAAAAGCCACTGAGACTGTACACATATGTACATTTTTCCTTCTTCGCACCTTAGTCTCAAAGTTTCCTGTTTCACCTTTTCCAGTTTGCCACCCATCACCCAATGTTATTACAGCGTCTGCATGCTTTGAGTCATTTCTCTGAGTGACCTTATTGTTTTGTGCCCCTACAGCTCCCAGTATGATGTCACTCCGACAACGGCACATTGACCCGCAGCTGTCCCTGGGTTCGCAGAGGTTGGTAGAGAGTTGCCTCGCACTTGGTGGGCAGGAAGGGGAGGGTAGCTTGTACTCGTCCAGGTCTAGGACGGTGCTACGCCAGGCACGCAGCCAATCCTTTGGGCAGTTTGACTCTCTGGGACTGCCTCCTCTTTCCTCAGCAGTGTCTCATCCTGCTATCTACTCCGCTGCCTCATCCCACTCTCCCCACTGCTCTTCCGTCGCTACTGTCCCTCATGCATCCCACTATCACTCTTCACATTTCCTGCCTATGGATACCATCCCAGACCTCCCCTATGATGCCAGCCCAGAGTGCCCCCGCCATTGCGGCAGCTATGGGTATCACTTCATTCTGTTGTGCTTGATTTGTGCTTCTCACCTGGCATGATCCTGGGACTTCGTCCAAAACATTTAACAGGACCACTTTCACACTTCCTGGTGAACCACTACTTGTGGGGTCTGTTGCTGTAATTGGCTATACTCACTACAGTTCATGACACTGTGACTTGCAACTTGGCTGTGCAACTTCCTGTGACGTTCTACCTTGTTGCTTAATCTGTTCTTGCAATGTTTGTCCCCTACTTTGAACCAATTCTCACACCTGCATGCCTGAATTGACCATGTTGTGCAGGGGTGGCTAACATCCTGTAGAGTGTAGCTCAGGGCTCTTCAACTCCAGTCCTGGAGGGCTTGGGTCCTGCAGACTTTACTTTCAACTTTAATTAAACTGGGACTGGATTTGGACTTGGACTTGAAGAGTCTTAGTTAGCTTGAACTTACCCCAATGCACCTGCCTGGAAGTTTCGAAAAGTGCTGAAGACCTTGATTAGCTTGTCCACGTGTGCTTATTTGGGATTGGTGCTAAACTCTGCAGGACAGTGGCCTTCCAGGAGCAGGACTGGACACCCTTGAGATGTTGGGTGTCTCTATGTTAAAGTTGAGGCTAGAAGGGATACAGCTATGGGCACCAGGGCTTACTGGGCATGTGCACATCGATATTGCATCATTTTTATCATGCTGAACAACAATTACTGTATTTGCATTATTGTAAGGGTAGGTTTAGGGTTTTGGTAGGTGTAGATGTTAATAAAACAATGTGATAGGTGGCAAATTTAATTTGTTATTTTATGGTGAGATTTTGCATCACTTCCTGCCATAGCTGTATCCCTTCTAGCCACAACCCTATATCAGGGCTGTCCAATCCTGTTCCTGGGGGACCACCTTCTTGTAGAGTTTAGGTCCAACATGCACCAGTACATCTGCTTGAAAGCAGGAGCAGACTTGGACACCCCTGCTCTGTTAGCTTGTACTTTTCTAGCACTGAGTCGTTAAGCCTTGGCATGTTGTGCTTCAGTTTAGACAACATTTGAGGTTGGAAATGTTGCTTTTATTGCGGGCTTAACTCGGGGTTCAGGTAGCAGTAAATGCAGTGTCACCTTACATATAGCCAGCATGTTGTCTTGGTTATTTAGGATTGGTCTGATATCTCACTCATTTCTTGATGCTAATTTGCCTATTTTCATTCACAGGGACTTGAATCGTTCCGACTCTGATTCCTCCTTGTGTATATCCCAGACTGGCGAGCAGCTACGCCTATCCTACAGTTCCAAAGGCTTCCCTGTGAAGCCCACTTCGCTCCTGCATGGCCCCCATTCACGCTCTGAAGAGGGAGCTCACTCCCACACCCACAACGGAGGCAACAGAGTTCACGATGGGGGGGCATCTCCCGATGGAGGTTCTGATAGTCCCATATTAATGAAGAAGGTGTATGGCATAGAGAAATCCGCCAGTATGAGCGAGATCCACGGCTCCCAAGCAGTGATGTCCGTGTCGGAATCCTCACGCTCCTTAAGCCCAAACTCCACTGAACCCGATACGCCGTCCCCGACTGGACTGACTGGGGGGAAGGCCGGAAACCGCATACCCCAGATCTCCTCGAAAAAGAGCCCTCTAGAGGAGGACAGTGGCTCCACAGGTGAAGACACTGACTCTGCTGCCAGTCGCAAGAAACATACCTTCAAGATCTTCAAAAAACAGAAGAAATAAGACAACTGGACAACTGTTTTGTTTTCACCTTACATTTCTTTTTGTCGTGTTGTTAATATAAATGTTTATTTTTTTTCCCCCTTCTGGTCAGAAGTTACGGCACCACCAGACACCTTTCCAAGGTCTTTATAGAAATGTTTGCTTTTTCAGAGGAACACTTAGGAACAAGCATGATTTTGGGGAGGGTGGGAATGGGATGGACTATTTTTGGGGAATGTAACACATTATTTATTCAGCAGGAGACAGTGCCAGACTTTCAAAGGAATCTTCCCTCTGATGGACTTTTCTTTCCTTGTATAATCCGTATCAGTTTGCATGTCTTCGCCTTTGTTTGATTGAACTTTGAATGCTCCTAGATGTTTGCTTGGTTCTTGTTCCCCTTTGCTTAAAATGCGAAACAGCCTGGTTCTTTCGTTTCTATCTGCACACTCCTTTGTCTTTCAAGTTAAAATGAATTGTCAGCTGAACGTTTAATGGTACTCTTCGATAAGTGTTTGTCAATGGTCAGAGAAACTGTAAAAGGGCTGAACTATCAGTGTGAAACTCCCCTAAAATATGTTGCACTATTTCTAAATGATGTCGGTTTTGTAAAGAAAATTTTGAATATGCTGGAATTTACACAAACCAAGACACTGAACGTATCTCTAAGGTTTCAGGGATTTCTAGTATGGTGAAGAATTATGCGATTATAATAGTTGATCATTGTCGATCATTCCAAATCATTTAGAAAATACAAGGTGGTTTATGAACATGCACATTAATGTTTTTTGAGCATTTACGCTTAACCATGCCCTGTTCACTGACTGTTTCTAATGACATCATCCAAACAAGTTCCCAAGAAAACACAAGAAATTAAATGTAAGGTGAATGCATACGTTAATTTGTTCAAATTACACAGAGTAATTACAGCTTTAGCAGATCTTGCCATCTTCAAAGTGCCAAACTAAAGCCACCGTCTAGAAAATGTATATACTTCCCGAAGGTTATATTTCAGTTTTGTTAGACCACTGATCTGAGATCTGATCTTAAATAGGTTTTCTATAGAGGTGCAGATTGTCCAAACTGTGGTGCAAGGGTGGGTGTCTACATTTACTGCTACTGACATGTTTGAAAGAGAGTTTGGACATATTCTGTTCTGCTGAATTAGGTCATATTATTCCTTTGACCCATAAAAATTCAAATCTGAGATTTCAGGTGCTCTTTTATATAATTTTAAAGCTAGGCCACACGCAATTGCTGTTATAATGGAGTGACTTGCCTTTAAATGGTCAGATGTTCGGGCAGATGGATTTTACCACTGTGCATTTTCAGAGGAAGTGGAGACAAGTCTCTCGTCGTCTTATGGTTTACATGATGTTCACTAAGATACATGTATTTTATCCCAGAGCACTGAAAATTACAAGCACACTTTCTGAAAAGAGAGGAGGTTAAGAATCAAAAGGCTTGGTGAGGGATGTCACTATGCATTTTTATAGTTTTTACCCACAGGCTTTGAAGGTCCAACGTATACCTGGAGGCAAACCAAAGCAGCGCTGCACGAAGCATCGCCTGTTTCTATAATTTCTTTTGTGAAAGATGGTACAAGACCACATCCAAATGTATATCAACCCGTCAGTCTTTAACAGGTATACAACTGTGCAGATGTATTTGTTTCATCTGTGCCTCTTTTGCACGAAGCTCTTGTCAGTGTGCGCGCATCAGTCCGGTCCAGTAAACTGCACTTCACTGTGTTGATGCATGTTCTCAACACCAGTTCTCAAACATGGACAGGGGAGAGATGGTAGCTGTTTTAGACTATGTTCCCCATTTAGATATTCCTGTTCACTTCTCCATTTGAGCTATTTATGCCTATACTGCACAGAGAGGTGGAGAGACAAAGTAAAAAAGATAATTTTGCATCTTCTGTAATGTTCAAAACTGTAGTCTTCAAATTTTATGGCACTCCTGCATGAAAGCAATAAAAATGGTTTTAAAAGACTGAGAATTCCATTATTCCATATTGTTTTTTCCCTATTAACATATACAGTAGCCCCCCAAAATTTTATCCTATCTATCTCAATCCATCGATCGATAGATAGATCTGTTTGCAATGTCACATATGTAAATATGTACATTATTTATGTACTTATATGAATAGGGGGACTCGTGTATAAACACTTTATTACCCAGATTGCTGTTACCTACTGAATTTATCTCAATGCCACTTGCTGTTATTCCAATTCAACTTCCTGTGGGTGTGGCTAATTTAATTAAAATAACTTGAAACTGAGCTAATTCTGAAATGCACAACATTCATTGGCATATCTGCACAGGGAACAGTTATAGCATAATTTTTAAAACTGAATTGGGTGTTTATTAATATATTACACATGTACTTGAAGCCTCACTTATACATTCCAATGCTAATTGCAGTTGTCCAGAATCTTATACAGCGCTTAACCTGAGAGTAATTATTCATGAGCTTTGCAAGATTTGCGTTAAACTCCTCCGTTCTGTTTGCTTAAACACTTACACCTGCAGCTCAAACAGGATGTTATTCCGGGCCTGTTGGCGTGCTTGGGTGCCTGCTTTGGCATTTGATCACATGAAATCCTGCTCTGCAATGGTCCTTGATGCAGATATGGTGCAACAAGTCAAATTGCAATACAATACAATGATTGCCTTTTTTGGTGTTTTCATTTCCAAGTTTAATCATAAAAACTGCAGGTAATAGGCCTACATTTTACTCACAAGTTTTCACTCAGTTCTTTTAAGAGGTTGCATCGCTTCTTTCCACAATTTATGCTTCTACTGGTGAATGTTAAGGCATCATCAAAACCCTCCAGCCATTCAGAAATGAAGTTTTGGAAGGGATGAGAGTCAAATCCATCTATTATCCCTGGTGAGAGCTTCTGCATTTGTACTTATTTGGCAACAAAGCTTATTTAAATCACAGAATAACTTTATGATTCATGGTTTGGACTCTAGGTTTGCTGTTTCATTTGGGTTTTGGTGGAGAAACCTTGCAGTAACCATTTATGTGGACTTCTGCTCCACAATATTGACGCTGAACATAATTATGCCACTAATATGACACTGGTAAGGCTGTGAACCGCTCAGACCACTTTCACTCATTTCTGTTTTTTATCACTTACAGAATTCACTTTTGTCCGATTCGTTCAGGTAAGATTCATGTCCAGGTGCATGGAGACGCCGGTGTTCTGACAAATAATGCTACCTATCTGATTATGCTACCAACACTGTATTTATCCTACTGTAAGGGTAGGTTTAGGGTTGGGGTAGGTGTACATGTTAATAAAGCCCCACACCTTATTAATATCATGCTGGAAGCAAAATCTGATAGGTAGCACTTTTCGCTATCGAATTATGCTACCATCTGTTTTAATGGGAGGTAGCAAAATCTGACAGGGTAGCACAAATCGTCAGAACACCGGCCACTCATCAGCGTTCCCTTTACCTTTTAAGGTTCCTCTTCATCAGTGGTGTCATATCAGCCTGGAGATTCTGGGGCGTGTGGTGAGATAGACTAGTATTTGGACCCATACATGTTTAATGATCTCATAGTATTGCATGATAGGTTGATGCACAAGGGCCACAGGTTCGGTTCTCAGATTGGGAGTTTTAGAAATTGCTTATTTTTGAAGAAACTTACGGTTTGAGACATCCCATAGGCTCCAATGGATTTATCATTTACAATAAGAAATTGTGGAAAGCAGCATGAGAATGAAACTGGAGTCAAACTTTTTGTTTATTTCTTTATTTTTAATAATTTTAAAAATCCAAGTGGGTAGTATACGTATTTTTTTTTTAAATATCGTATTTTATGCATATATAGCCACGGCATTTTTTCAAATATAATGCAGCATTTATTCCAGAACATGTTGAAATGAAACCATATTTCTGTATGCATGTAAATATTTATTTGGTTTAAAGTGGGCCTAAACAAAATGTCTGAAAAATATTGGATTTGCGCACAGAAGTGGCCTGGCTTGTTGGCAAATGAGATGCAATATTTGGCAGCACAGACTTTTGCCCATATAATTTGTGGCTAAGGGAAATGCTCAGTTACAATAATATGCATACACTTCTGTAGTTTGATTCAATGTTCTAGTGCAAATTGATCCAGTTTTGAAACCAGTTCTCATATTTCCCTCTTCTGTAGGTGAACATTTCTATTGCATGTATGGAAGGACAGCAGAAATTTGTTAGCACAGCTGAGCACATAAGAATCTTAATTTAAAGCAGTAAAACTTAAATGTCACTATTGTTGCTTTAAGAAAGCACTGCTGTTTTGGGCAGATTTGGTAAAAACATCATGTTGGATGACACACATGGCTATTTTGTGATTGGTGGAGGTAAATTCATACGAGGCATTGAAGGATATTATGCACCAGCTACATACTATCGTGTACAGGGGCTCCCAGCTGACCAGGAAGGATACGGTAGGATTTTTTAATATTGTAAGTTATTATAAATTCATATTTAGTATATGCATTCACTGGGAATCAATCCTATGGTTTTGGCATTGCTCAATATAAATTTTAACTAAGCATAGTGATATTTTACGTCTTCACAGGCTCAGATTCACCATCCTCCTGTAATATCAAAAATGAACATAACCGGATGGTTCCAGTCTTGAGAATGCAAAAGCATTTCATTTTTTTCCATCACCAAGTCCCATTAGAGGCTCTGTAAACTTCATCCTGCGTATATAGGGGATAAATAAAATGTCAGTTTCCAGTTTAAATACAGGATTTAGAGATACAAATGAGGCACAGCAAAACATTGAAAATGTATTTTTGTCTGAATTAATGTGCTGCATTTCCTTTACAGCTAATTTGGTATCAAATTTAAGACCTATTGAAGGTCATTATGAAATTAAATTCGCATAAAAGCTCTTACATGTAACCCTTAAATTGAATGATTTGTTGTTCCAAGCAATTTCAGCGGCTGTCTGAATAACATTTCATCTTCTCCGCAGACTTTTGAGTTAATACGTTTAAATGATGAAGAGACCCTGAAGGCCCAAACCAATGAAAACGATGATCTGTTTCACTGGCTAAAGCTGCAGGCTAGAAGTGGAGTGGCTGAAGCCGAGGTACTAAAACTCACATCCAGCAAAAAAATTAAATAAAGAGCACAGAATGTTCCATTTTGATGTTATTCCGCTGTACTAATATATTAAGTTGTGATGGAATTAAATATTACAGTTCAAAAATAACAGTTTGCCATTTTAATATATTTTAAAATGTAATTTATTTACAGAAATCATTCTATGCTGATTTTGTCGCTCAATAAGTATTTCTTATGATGTGTATTAATGTTGAAAACAGTTGTGCTGATTAATATTTACTTTTAAATGGTAGTTTTATTTAATTATTAATTTTTCTTTAGCAAGCAATGGGTCGTATGTTATTCTGGGGTCAGCAAAGAGTGTCTCCAGACATTCAGACAGCAGTGAAACACTATGAGAGAGGGACCACCAAACTCCATGACCCTGTGTCCATGTACAACTACGCCATTGTGCTCCTTACGGTCAGGATCCTTTGTGTCTTCGCTCTTGTATGCAATCCTAAATCATTGATTCTGATGTTTCATTGTGCCATGGTTAATAAAGAATATCTGATGTGGCCAGCAGAGGACAGTCTTGCAAAGCATTTGAAGTGAATATTGCTTAAGAGAAAGGTTAGAGGAGATCAAACATATTAAAGATCATATTATCTTGTATTAACAGGGCCAAGGAGTTCCAAAAGATGTTCAGAGAGCTGTGATATTCCTGAAGAAAGCAATAGATCAGGTACATCTAGCAAGTTTTGCATAAATATTTGTTTAAAACCAGGGGTTTTTAAACTGGGGTAAGGGCTGGAAGGTTGTGTTAGGGGGTTTGTGGAACATTTTTTAAGGAAAGAATGTGAAAAAAAATTATATAAATAAATAATATTAAGTTCAAAATATATTTTTTAAATAATATTTTTAAAAAGTAAATAATAAAAATGATTTAACATAATAGGAACTAAATGGTTCAAATAATATTGTACATAATAAAGGTCTTTATACATATATATAGTTGCCTTAAAAAAATTGTATGACTAGATTTCTCATATGTGGATGATAATATTTGGAGATTTTCAGAGATTGAAAACCTCTAGTGCAGTCCTCATTGTGTATATGATTGTTTATTGTTTATTTTTGTTAATTACGTCATATCTTGAAGTACTTTGGCTTTAATACTTATGAAAAAATAAACATAGTTTGCTTATTGAATGCAAGTGCAATCACTGTTAATTTATGTAACTGATTTAGTGGATGCTCATCTATTTCATTGTTTTTACTGACATATTGACTGTTTTCTACTCTCAGGGCCTCTATCCTGGACAACCTGCCGACCAGGTAAACACTCACATGCTTATGTGCTTTAAACCTCTTATTAACCTAATAAAGAGTTTATTTAACTATGACTTTGCTTGTTCATCAGGTTAAGGCATATACTGGTAAGTACTATTTAAAGTCAGCCCAGAGAGGACACTTACATGGTGGCATTGAACTGGCTGATATTTGGATTCATGGCCAAGTTGCCAGACGCCCCGCAGATGCTGTTCTGTATGTAACTCAAAATAATATTATATAATTTATATATATATATATATATATATATATATATATATATATTACTTAGTGTAAATGGGCATGATGCCTCTGCTATCCAAAATCCCCTAGTTGTTAAAAAGATTCAGTCTTTCTTCTGTGGCTCAAAGCTATTTCTAATTGACATTTTGCTATTGGGTTTTTTGGGAATCATTTTTTTCTTTTTCTCTTTGAACTGTAGTTGGGTTAAATGGGCATCTGAACAGAATGGATATCTGGGAACAGTCTTGAGGAACGGACTGAATGCCTATTTCAAAGGAGACTGGTAAACCTTTCAGTTTGAGTGACCACAGAGTTATATTAATCTAGAATTCTCATAATATTAAATTACAACATGAATGTCCTTTTAGATTTCATTTACATTAGAAAAGGATGTTGCAAAGGCCACTTTCTATTGTTTATTTCATCCTCTCTCTCTCTCTCTCATTGTTGCAGGATCATGTCTTTGATTTATTATCTGACTGCTGCAGAGAGTGGATTTGAAGCAGCTCAGTTTAATGCGGCGTACCTGTGTGAGCTCAACTCAGTGAGTCCATTCTAAACTCTTGCTTTAGGTTCAGATGAACATGTTCACTCGATTGGCTTTGACAGATATTTTATATCTCTTTGGATCCAGCGCTGCATGTTAAGATACTATAACAGGTCGATAAAGGCTCAAGATCCGGCTAATTTTAACAAATCTAAGATTAAAATATGAATTAAAATAGTAGTAAAAAAATTTATTGAATATCCCTTTTTTAAATAAAAAAGTTATAACAAATATAAAATGTAAAGAACTTTATAGGAAAGTATTTTTGTTTATTTTTTATTTTTTCAAATACATATTTTTATGAATTGAATGGGAAAAGCAATTAATTTTTTTACTACCTGCCCTGCACACTGGCACTGTTCAGCGCACACCTGCAATCTTTACAACTACATCAGGATACTGCCATAAAGGTCAGTTTATTTTTGTCTTTAAAGTAGAAATATTGACTTTTGGATGTCTGGACCAAAAGCGTACTGTAGCACGGACAATTTAATGTAATTATAAAGCAAGCAAGTCAGTCAACAACAAAAAAGAAAAGAAAAAAAAAACAGCCTAAATGAACTCCTTGCTGTTTAATTTGTTTAATAGTGTATAATTGCATGATTGCCTCATGGGGAAGTTCCTGTGGTTACTGTGTTAACATATTACTGATTTGTCTCTGGGATTGTCTAATGATGAGGGACACATTTTCACAAGCAGATGTTTCTCTGTTCCTGTAGCTCATTGCCACAGTTTCGGCAGCAGTTGGAACTCTGTCTTTTGTAGTGCTGTCAAATGATTAATCGCGATTAATCGCATCCAAAATACGTTTTTTAACAAGTATTTGTTTTATTTGTGATTTTTCTACAAGCAATATTTTGTTTTAACAGCAAAATGTATTTATTAATTTGTTCTAATGCACAATTTTTATTTGTTCTAATATGATTTTCATTTATTTAATTTCTTTAATTTATTTTCTTTCTTTCTTTCTTTCTTTCATTCTTTCTTTCTTTTTTTTGCATTATTGTTTTTTTTTTTTTTCATTTCAATGAATTCAGATTTGATTTCCTGTCTCCTCAGGGTTGGTATAATCTTGGCCTGCTTGTCCAAAATGGAGAGTCTCTGCCGTTTGGTGTGCTTTCTGAGCTCAATTTGCTCCACCTTCACTTGACAGAGAGACAGAAGCTTCTCAGCACCCTGTACCAAAGGTAAGACAATGAAACATTCAGACTGCCATTATCCACTTCAGATGGCTCAGTTGTACTGTTCTAACAACCTATTACAACATGGCCCTTTTTCTCCACCTTTTCCGTAGATGTGGAGAGACCAATAGCACTGATGCCTACCTGCCCTGCACACTGGCACTGTTCAGCGCACACCTGCAATCTTTACAACTACATCAGGATACTGCCATAAAGGTCAGTTCATTTTTGTCTTTAAAGTAGAAATATTGACTTTTGGATGTCTGGACCAAAAGCGTACTGTAGCACGGACAGTTTAATGTAATTATAAAGCAAGCAAGCAAGTCAGTCAACAAAAAAGAAAAGAAAAAAAAACAGCCTAAATGAACTCCTTGCTGTTTAATTTGTTTGATAGTGTATAATTGCATGATTGCCTCATGGGGAAGTTCCTGTGGTTACTGTGTTAACATAATACTGATTTGTCTCTGGGATTGTCTAATGATGAGGGACACATTTTCACAAGCAGATGTTTCTCTGTTCCTGTAGCTCATTGCCACAGTTTCGGCAGCAGTTGGAACTCTGTCTTTTGTAGTGCTGTCAAATGATTAACCGCGATTAATCGCATCCAAAATGCGTTTTTTTTACATAATATATGTATGTGTGCTGTGTATATTTATTATGTGTATATATAAATACACACACATGCATGTATATATTTCAGAAAAAATATGTTATGCTTATATATTAATCTGATGTGTAAGTCAAAGTAAGTGAAAGGAGGTGCTTAGCCTTTCAAATACATTTTTCATCCATCCCAGGAATTCAAACTAAATGTTAGCTTTATTATTATTATTATTTTGCATTACCAAATGTTGCTTTGCACGGTAGTTGTTATGAACTTTTCCACATTTTTAAAAAAAATATTTCGTTTAAAACTTTTTTTTTTTTTTACATTAAGATTGTATCGGAATTTAAAGAGAGGAAAACAGACATTTGATGTGAACTAGCAACTTTTTAAACATTAATTTTAGGTAAGATACTAGTTTATTTAATATATCTAATAATATGTATAATTAATTAATAATAGTTAATAGTTGTTTTGAAGTATACTTTTGTTAAAAAGTTTGGGATCAGTAAGATTTTGAAAGAAATTCATATTTAATATTAGTTATTAAGTGAAAGTACATGATTAAAACAGTAAATGACAATATATATGTATATATATATATATACAATAAATGGTTGATAATGACAATAAAGACATTTACAAATTATCTCTATTTCAAATACTGTTCTATTTGTTTTGATTATATTCAATAAACTTGAAAAAAAATGAAACCTGAAAGAAATGGCTTGCACAAAAATATTAATCACAACTGTTTTCAACTTTTTTGGAGCAGAACATCATATTTGATGTGATATCTGTATATTAGAATGATTTATGATGGATCATGTGACACTGAAGACAGTAGAAATGGCTGCTAATCATCATTTAAATTCAGGAATAAATTACATTTGAAAATATATTCAAATTAAAACAGATACTTTAAATTGTAATAATATTTCACAATATTAGACTTGTTTCAAAAACAATTTTCAAAATATATACTGTATGTGTGTGTATTTATATATACATAATAAATATACACAGAACACAGGCATATTTTATATAAACAAAAACTTGTATATAAACGATTAATCGCGATTAATCGTTTGACCGCACTAGTCTTTTGTATTCGGACTAATTAAATGGAGGACAATGCCACTCCACGAAACAGCCCAAACATCTGCTTCCAGCCAAACCCGAGGAGGAATCATAAAGAAATCTACCACATAACTTTAACTACTTCATAGCTTAATTATTTTTTAAACAAGTCCCAGTATTGTATATGGTTTTCCTCCATGTAAAGCCTTTGTTTACTGTTTTTAATAGGAATCATTTTTAACCCTAATTTTTGTGCTAAGATATACAAAATCAAGTATAACTTGAAATTTCATGTAAAAGAAGCACATAACATTTAACTACAAAATTCTGTTTAAATAAAGCAATATACATTCAATTTCTATTCGGGTGGAAGGGATAGTTCACCCAAAAATGAAAATCCTGTCATTTGCTCACCATCAAGTTGTTCCAAACCTGTATGAGTTTCTTTCTCCTGTTGAACATAAAAGAAGGTATTTTGAAGAATGTTGGTAACAAATCAGTTGATGGTAGCCATTGACTACCATGGAAAAAATACTATGGAAGTCAATGGCAACTGCCAACATCCTTCAAAATATCTTCTTTTGTTTTTCAACAAAAATAAACTCATACAGGTTTGGAACAACTTGAGGGTGAGCAAATGACGACAGAATTTCCGTTTCTTTTTGGTGAACTATCCCTTTAAACTAAATAATGTGAGTGAATTTCGATCCTTTTTCTACAAGTACTTTTAAAATGGTTACATTTTAAGATGCTTTTCTCTCTCATTTTTGTCACTTAAATCATCAGCGTTTCAAAAAATGACAAGTAAAATAAATAGTTCTGAATAAAGTAATATTTTTACATTTAATTCCTGTTTCAGGCTTCTTGTTTCTGACGTGTAATTTCTTCTGAGAGTTCTGGCTGTACCACTTCAGTGTCTCAAGGCAAACTCATTTATCTGCCTGTGTCTAATGAAAGAGTGCGAGGACTCCCCAGGCTTCTGCGCAGACTGATGCAAACAGCAGGTGTTCAGCAGGCTGAGAGGTGCCCACGGCCACACCGGGGCCCCGGGAACACACACCGCAGCTCACGCTTAATTAAAACAACACCAAAAGCAGACTTATCCTCAGAGAGAGGGAGTGCACCACACTGTGTCAAGTGTTCAATCATCAGGGGACGGTAATCTTACTGCGTTTACATTCAAATAATGTGATGTTTTCTGTGAGACCCCCATTCTGGTGTCTAGTCATGATTTATGCATTTTGTTTGTGCGCTTGGGCTAACTTACAATATACCTAATGTAAAGATATTTTATTAAATAGTTTTTCTAAATTGTTCAGGGAATATGTTGGACTCGACACACCATTCAAGCAATGTAATAGCTAAAGAAACAAGTTTTTAAAGTCCTCAGTCATTGTGAAAAATTGCCTCTGAGCTGTCTTTCTCCCCAGCTGGCTTTTATATATAATTGCTGAACTTTAGATGATGTTTATGACTTTAAAAAGCACCAGATGAGTTTGAGATATTTGGCACTTTCGGTACAAAATAGGGCTTGCAAGTCTGATGTGTAAGTCAAAGTAAGTGAAAGGAGGTGCTTAGCCTTTCAAATACATTTTTCATCCATCCCAGGAATTCAAACTAAATGTTAGCTTTATTATTATTATTATTTTGCATTACCAAATGTTGCTTTGCACGGTAGTTGTGATTAACTTTTCCACATTTTTTAAAAAAATATATTCGTTTGAGAACTTTTTTTTTTTTTTACATTAAGATTGTATCGGAATTTAAAGAGAGGAAAACAGACATTTGATGTGAACTAGCAACTTTTTAAACATTAATTTTAGGTAAGATACTAGTTTATTTAATATATCTAATAATATTTATAATTAATTAATAATAGTTAATAGTTGTTTTGAAGTATACTTTTGTTAAAAAGTTTGGGATCAGTAAGATTTTGAAAGAAATTCATATTTAATATTAGTTATTAAGTGAAAGTACATGATTAAAACAATAAATGACAATATATATGTATATATATATACAATAAATGGTTGATAATGACAATAAAGACATTTACAAATTATCTCTATAATACTGTTCTATTTGTTTTGATTATATTCAATAAACTTGAAAAAAAAAAGAAACCTGAAAGAAATGGCTTGCACAAAAATATTAATCACAACTGTTTTCAACTTTTTTTGGAGCAGAACATCATATTTGATGTGATATCTGTATATTAGAATGATTTCTGATGGATCATGTGACACTGAATACTGTAGAAATGGCTGCTAATCATCATTTAAATTCAGGAATAAATTACATTTGAAAATATATTCAAATTAAAACAGATACTTTAAATTGTAATAATATTTCACAATATTAGACTTGTTTCAAAAACAAAAAAATATATCCTATTCATGGAAAGTTTATTTTTTCATCATTAATAATAATAATATAACACAGTGCCATACTTCATCGAAAATAGTATGTGCTTTGTTAATTTTGGTGTTTTATTTTGTGAAAATAAGTTATATATAATTTTTTGTGTGGTCATTTTCATTTAAGGTTATTATCTTTCACATTCATTGTGAAAATGTCCACAAGTAAACAGAGCACTCAGAAAATATGTTTATGGCATCATCTAAACCTCATTAAATGGATTTATCTGTTTTATGAGACGTAATTTAGATATCAATTATGATACAAATTACATATGAAACAACTACAGTATGTCAGAATGTATTTCTCAGTAATTCAAAGTGCTATGAATATATCTAGAAACTTGTGACTAGGTATTTTTCAGGGAATGGCTGTGCGCTGCGACTGTGCAGTGTTTGTTTCTCACACACAGTGGTGGAAAGAGTACTGAAAAAATATACTCAAGTAAAATATCTATCATCCAGCAGTTTTAATTTTGACTGCCAACTCTTTAAAATACATCAAAACAGCACGGAAACAGTATTAAGTTGAAGAAAAGATGAAAGATATTCTCAATACAATCATCCCCATTTAAATAATAAAGTGTGAAAAAATAGATTTAAAATCATGTGTCAGGCCACTGAGACAGCATATGCTGTTGTTGCACATAAAATATTAATGTTTAGAACAGTGCAAATACAAACACCATGAGAAACTCATAGTTCAGCATCACACACCATGATATGGGTTCAAATGAGAGCCCATTTCTCTCCAAAACGGTGCCAGTTTGAGCGTTTTGCAATAAAATAAAATAAAAAAAGCTAAACTTGATAATTTATGTTACAATTTTAACATAAATGCACATTGTTCTAGAAGTATGGCAGATTCATGCCATACCTTTTACACATTTAGTCGAATTTTTATGCTGATAATAAAATTTGTAAGGAAAAATGCATTGAAAAAGTTTCCCCAGAAATACCTCGCTATTTAAAGGAACACACACACACATACACATGTCTCTTTGCTGAGTCGCGGCGGTCTCGGTGAATCAGCAGCATCCACAACTGAATGGAACAAAAAGTGTTGAACTTGAAAATTGTTTATGCACGAGTGCACTTGCTAAATGAAGGCGGATTGTATAAAATGGATTTAAAAAAAAACGTTTATTAACGAGCTGCAGTTTTATTACATCACGTGCTGGCACAGATGCTGTAGGCTATATTAATGCCATGGGTCATCAATAAGGTGCAGATTTGGCCCTCAATTTGTGTTTCCAACACACTTTTTCACAGCACGCATCACGCGCTCAAACTCATCAAAATTCATCAAGTTCAACAAGCAACAACGACTTATCCAAGTGACTGCTGCAGAACGCACGCGACAGAGAGACGAGGCAGCGCAGAACGAGCGTCTCATAAGTGAGTGGGAATTTACCGAACGTAGCACTTGCGTGAGTTAACACTGTATGCAATACCTGCAACCTCACACCAAATTTCAGGCCATGTAGATAGTCAAGCATATATACAAATAATTTAGTAAGCAGAAATCCGAAAGTTAGAGGAAGATGCGACTGAATTGATGCTTGAAGAATGCGCTTCCTGCAGCCATGATAAACAGTTGGAGGTTAAAGTTTTCTATGCACAATTTGATTTGACGAAAGTCACGAGACCTATTACTCTCTATCCAATCACGTTGATGGATAAAAATACAATTAAAATAAGCATGTAACGACCACAAACGGAGGAAAATGGAGTAAAAGTACCGATACATCACTTAAAATGTACTCAAGTAAAAGTAAAAGTACATCATTTTTAAACTACTCAAAAAAGTACAATTACTGATAAAAACTACTTAATTACTGTAATGTGAGTATTTGTAATTCGTTACTTCACACCCCTGCTCACACATCAGCAGTGCAAGCAGTCTCAAAAGAAGTTTCTTCTCCTGGGAAGGGCTCCACAGGGCCCTCGGAATCGGGCTCCTCCCTCTCCTCTGAGACGATCCCTCCTGCTTTGATCTCTTCTTCCCTCTCGTCGTCGTCCTCCTCCTCAGCCGGATGCGTACTGATCGGCAGACCTGTGTTTTCGCACCCCATGGCCTCATTCTTATCAAGGTCACAGAAATTGTTCATTGCGCCCATGATGTATTTGCCCAGGATGCTGGCCTGGTCCGGCTCGCTTTTGCGCCGCCACTGCAGCTTCTGGTGAAACTCCTGCATCTCGGAGTGCAGTCTCCCGACAACTTTATTCAGCTCAGTGATTCTGTTCCCAACATCTGAACATCACAGCAGCAGCAGTTAGTAGCGAAAACAATGGCAATGTTCAGAACAGCGTACTATCTCACAAGTGTCACTATTATGGCTTTTTTAATAACTGAAATACTGCATGCTTTTTGGATCATTACTTGATGCCGAAAAGATGACCTACCTCTCTGCGTGCGGCTTCGATGTAGCGGTGCACTAGAGCTTTGGTCACTTGCAGGCGGTATGGCACTCTGCCCTCACCTTGACCTCCGCTGCTATTCAGAGTATTGCTAGACTAATAAAAATATGAAAAACACCTCCTCAGCCAAATTTAACCAAGAATCATGGAGGATCTAGAGATAGAAACCCCTCAGATACTCACCAAAGATGCGATGGGAGGATATTCTGGGGCTTTCTTGTTACAGCAACAGCAAATCATTTGGCAGATGCTTCTACACAAAACAGGGAGGAACAGGAAGGTTACATCTGGTCA